ATGTGCTTTGATAAATAATACCAACATTTCTGAGATATCTGCTGCCTCCATATTCAGGATAATAGGAGGTTCCACAGAAACTCACGCAGTAATCTACCATACTATACGGCGTTATATACCAGATGACAGTAAATCTTAATAAACTCAAATCCTAATACATCATGGGCACATATTACTTTCTGCAGCAACAAACCGAAGCCTATATAAGGTTATTAAAGATTTCATAATTATTCAGCTGTAGAGGCCTGCAGCAACAAACCGAAGCCTATATAATGTTATTAAAGATTTCATAATTATTCAGCTGTAGAGGCTATGTTGATGTACAGATGACAGATGAGGAAACATCTCAATTATTTCAACATACTTCTGTGGCACCAGTAGGCATGGACACACATCTACAATGATCATGGACTTAACAAGAGAGGACAAGATAAAGACTGCACTTCAGGAACTCTGGCATGGACAAATTATTGGCTGCTTTAACAGGAAAAATCAAAGTGCAACAGTGTAAACCCCAAGTTGAAAACCCAATTTGCCTGACATGAAAATAAATTGCATCGATAAAATCAAATGGGAAACAGTGTAACTAATACAGTATTGCAAACTTTATCCTCAGAAAGACATAGGAAAAATCCAACTATGAGACAGTGCTTTTTATGGGAATGACACCTAATAATAGGATGGGGAATATTATACAAATTATCACTTGCTATATATCACCAGAACATATGAAGCATAAAAGGCAAAGAGGGGGAACTAATTATTTTTCTAAATGATAAATGCAACAAACCTGATATTGTATGTATGAGTGAGCAATAGTTGAGTGTAAATGAGTTATTGACATTTTCTATGTTAGAATATAAAATGGTAATTGGATTTCCACATAGCATATTTAGGAATAGTGGAGTTTATATTTTAGTTAAAGACAATATAGTATATCAAGTGCTGGACCTATCCAATTGAAGAATAGAAAAAATGTTTGAAGCATGTGCTCTAAAAATATCTATAAATAAAATGAAACTATGTACTTTGCGTTTGTACAGAGATCCAGATCGGGATTTTAACCAATTTATTGAGCAGCTGAATTCTATACTTCTATTTCTAGAAAGCACAAAATTGGAATCAATAATTTATGTTGATACAAATATAAATTACCCATTGAAAGTTATGAAAAAGAACAACTACAATCTCTATTAATTTAGTATAACCGACTTTCCAACGAGAACAAGTTTGATCTCTATCTCACTGATAGATACTTTCTTCTTGGGTAAAATTATTTATAAAAAATTCCAAGTTTATCCTGCTTTAAATGGTCTTTTGGATTGCGATGGTCAAGTATTAATACTTGATAATTTGGAAACTATGATGCAAAATAAGCATAAAAATGCATTTAGAGAGATTCATGGGGTAAAAATTACAAATTTTCAACCTGCACTACAAAATGAAAACTGGGAAAAAGTTTATAACCAAGAAAATGTTAATAGTAAATTTCATCTTTCTTAATATTTCCTTATTCAATTTTGAAAAAAGCTTTCCACTAGAATATAAAAAGAAGGAAGATGTAACTAACAACTGGATAACTAAGGGTATAAGAATATCATGTAAACATTGAACCTCATATAGTCTACTTACAAAATTGGGTGACGATAGGCTGAAATCACACTATAAGAAATACTGCATTGTACTTGCAAAATTAATATAAGAAGTGAAGAAAACACATTATTATAGCTCGATAAGTAAATCAGAGGACAAAATAGAAAAAACCTGGAAGATAATTAAAAAGAAGCAGTTAAAATTCAAGGAATGGATATCATAACACAAACTCAACTGCAAAAGAGCAAAAGAAATAATCCTAATGAAATAGCAAATTCATTAAATATTTCACAACTATAGCTGAGAAATTAACAAAAAAAAACCTCTGATAAGAATGAGGCCATTAAACTCCTACACACATTTAAGAATGATAATATACTCGTACCAGAAATGAAGTTAATACCTACAACTGAGATTGAAATAAAGTATACTCTGAAGTAATTGAAATTAAAAAATTCCAAGGTTATGATGGTATTATGGTTGACTTATGTAATTTATTGCATGTATACATCTATTATCAAAGGGACTATTTCCACATCTTAGGTTTTTTGCCTGTACAGATATATGGAAAATAGAGGAAATGAATGAATGAATTCAGAAAGAATATTAAAATGCAGATATGAAATAAGTATGCCACTTAGTCACACATCCCTTCAGTATCTTAAAGAGGAACCCACATATAAAGTGGGAGAAAATTATAGAAAAAAATTATAGACCAATAACATTGTTAACAACCTTTACAAAATTACCTGAAAAACTAATGCATAATAGACTAAATCAGCATATAAAAGTTGTCCCTGTGCTTAACTAAATAAACAATACGCCATAAAATTACTGATGGAAACAAATGAGCAACAGTGAGAATGGCAATTTGGAAACCATGTGTTTTTAATGGTTTCACAAGGAAAGACCATATGCCATAATGAATAATGGACCAATGATCAAGACAGATGCCAACCGTTTTTTCCAAATGGTTTAAGATCGAGAACTGTCAGTGTTGCAAAGGACGCCTTTACGATTTCAAAAAGAGAAAAAGTGCCCTGGTATACACAAAAGTTTAAGGGAACTCTAGTTGCATTTAGAAACAGCGTATGACACAGTTTACACGGTTAAAATAACTGGGTGTCAGTAAGGAAACAAAACACTGCACACCCACAAACCATCAGAATACAGAATTAGAACAGCACCAGGTAAGCAAAAGCACACATACGCACACACACAAAAACACATAGTACAGGAATAACCCTGCATTTACATTTCAGATCATACAGAGAACAAATTCCACAATATCAACAAATACACAGAGCATACCACCTGAATCCGGCAAACTGAAATACAGAGACATGTGATCACAATTAAAATCTTCAATGTTTTAATGTTTGATACATTAATATAAAGGTAAAGTTCTTCCTAGCCGGTCACGGTAGCCGAGCGGTCTAAGGCATGCACTGTCTTCGCTCGCTCTGAAGCCGGGATCGTGGGTTCGAATCCCACTCAGGGCATGGTTGTGTGTGTGCGTTTTTCTGTGTTTGTGTACAGGTAGAGGCCTTGCGATGAGCTGATCACCCGCCCAAGGAGTCCTACTGTATGTATAAGATCTAGTAAAACCGAAAACGGAGAGTTTCATGGAGGTAGGCCTGTGTCCACTGGGGGCTGTAATGCCAATAAAAAAAAAAGTTGTTCCTGTGCTTAACTAATTAAGCACTATGCCATGAAGACGTATGGGGGCGTGGATGTATAGATCCGCAATTTCTTGACCTGGGCACTACGTGGAAGTTGAGTGGTCAGCTTCACGTCCCGGCCGCTTTACCCCCGGAAAGAACCCCCAGTACCCACTGCATAGGAGGTTGGGTGGACCCCAGAGCTGGTCTGGATGACATGGTGAAGTGAAAATTCTTGACCCTACGGGACTCGAATTCCGGCTTCTCGGTCGTCAGCCCATAGCCAGTCGCTATGCCGACTACACTATTAATATATTCACTTTAATTTTATTATAATGCTTAATTCATCCTATACAAAGAGGTATTTTATAAAACATTAAAAACTGAATATAAACACTCCCATTCTGCAAACATCGACCAATGTAGGAAGGATCAGGAGACAAGTGAAAAAATGAATGTAAGAAAAGTTGCATATACCTCAGTATGACCCCCACTCGCACACGAAAAGCAACGACATATATTAGTTAACACATGAGATATCGTGTAGCTACACAAACACTGTGGTGACGAAATAATAGAAAAAAATGGGTTCCAAGAACTGAACTGATTCTCCCATAAACACATACAAAATGTATCTCCCAATATCAAACCTCCAAACCAGTATTTTTATCAAATGGGTAAGATAGATGAATATGAACCCTAACAGTCGAAAGTGCTACATCTTCATCTGAAAATAATTAATGGCTACAATAAACTAAAATAATACGCTGAACTTACCACACGACCGAGGCGTATTTTAGTTAAACAATTAAATATACTTAGAACTTACAAATATAACAATTACATATGGCTCTGTAGCTTAACGCATACTACGTACCTTCTTTAAATGCACAATAAATCAATTTAAGTAAACTTCACCCAAAACACAGCCACCACATTAATTTTATTTTGCATTCCACCAAACTCTGCTCCACACCACAACGGGGACAACGAGCCCCAAGCAACATAAATGATATAACAGTTCGGTAAGTTTTGCCATGTTGCCCGCCATAATTCTTTTTATTTGGAGAACGGGGGGAGTGATATCGTGTGATAACTGCTGCCATCTGTTTTCGTCAATAAATAAGATTGAGACGCGACGTATAAATCGGAGAGTTATCTATGAAGTGCTCGAACGTTACAACACACAAGGCCCACCTTGCAGATATAATCTTAGTTAACATTATCCGTGCCGGGTATATCGATAGAACTGTGTAACGCCTGCTCATGTATCAATGCGTAGAAAATGAGGAAACGTTCAAAACCTTCTAGATTGCCCGCTCCGATCGTAGTTCCTGAGCCGGCCGCAGGACAAAAGCGCCATGTCAGTCGGCGTACAAGCGAAACCGCCAGAAGCAAATACTGGCAACTACTGCTTACTGCGAGAGCTTAATTGCATGGCACTGCTGTAGTAACCTCGCGTACTTCGCAAGTGATCAGTATTATTAGTGTTAATAAAGTCTGATAACGTTAAACATTTCGATACCATTTCTATGCCACCTTGTGGACATTATTCGCGCCAAAATCAGACACCATTCATTTATCGATAAGAATTTACAATTTTCGCAAGCGACGCTGCGTAGAATTTTTCAAGAAATTACATAGAAGTGCCATCCTATGTTCCTAATCTGCAAGAAAATCGAAGTCGACTTATTCATCGATAACAGAATTATCGACTATGGTTTTATCTTTGCCATATAGTTATCGTATTTATCGGTATTTATCGACCTGTCAAAGTATGATTGTTGCGTTTTGTCGTTTGTGGTCATGTACATTGAATAGTAGAATGTTGCCCAGTTCTTTGGAGTTGGTTTTCGTTGCATTTATATTAATATTGCCATTCTTGTATGAAAGTAGTAAAGCTTTCAGATATTACTTCAAGTTCTTTATATATTATGGAATTGTAATGACGACGGCTGTCGTGGTAATTCCAATTATGATGTGCCGGCCAAAGGATGTAAAGAATCTGCTGTACGTATTTTCAAATTACAACGTTCACGTACGATACAGTTTATTCCTCACTTTACGCACCGCAGTATGTTATTTGTTTAGTAACAACCCATTTTGAAGTCCATTAAGTATGTGTATTCCTTTTTCATATCTTGTTAAATAATAAATATCGCATGTATACAAAACAGACTTCTTGGAGAAGATTATGTCGCTCATCTAGTCAAGGAATTCCCTACGCAAAATAGCTTTTTCTTTAGGGCTTTTTAGACTAGATTATTGATAATCATTTTATGAATTCTAACGCAGGATTTATTATGCTTCACAGTTTGGCCTCCTCACTCTGCCGCCACATCTCGTGTCTTGTTGGATTAAAATGGGAACTTCGTGGGCAAGAACACCTAGAGAAGGAGCAAGCTTGCATTATTGTGGCCAATCATCAAAGTTCACTGGATATTTTAGGCAAGTTGTTTATTATTCTAGTTGTATTTTAATCATTTTAGTCATTCTCAATAAGCAACATTTAGTTGCCAACCAGAATAAAAAATCATGTTAGTCATGAATGAATGGTAGTGTTACTGTTATATCTCAGTATTCATGTTAATGATTCCTGCTTAACTCATGTAATGTCAATATTAATGTGTGCATAGATTTTTTTGAGAGACTGGATATGTTAAAAAGTGCAATCCTAGTTACTTAGGTTTGCTGATATTAATCATTTGCAAAACACTGTTAAACACTCTCCATTCTGAGTTTATCAGTACTGAGGTGTTCATTTGTTTAATGTGTTCAAGGTAACATGAAAATTTACTTAGCACATTACAACAAAAACTTGAGTGCTGAAGGGTGGCAGAACACTGACAGTGATAACACCAAAAGATAAACCTATGTAATGAAGACATTCCAGTTACAAAGTGAAATATCTCATCTGTACCACAGAAACTGAAATATGTTACAAATATTAATGAAGTATATTGAAATATTGAAATTTATCTGAAGTTACACTTCAGTGGAGATGAACATGGAGAGATTGTAGAAGTTAAAATACATTTTTGTCTGCTTCCAGTGACAGAAATTCTGTATTATAAATGTTTAACATCAATTAAAATGACACCACCATCACAAATTCTTCTATTAAAATTTTAATTTTTATTGTTATTACTTACAGGAATGTTTGACATTTGGCCAGTAATGGATAAATGCACAGTTGTTGCCAAGAAAGAGCTGTATTATGCATGGCCTTTCGGTTTAGCTGCTTGGCTGTGTGGACTCATATTTATAGATCGGCTTAACTCAGACAAAGCTCGTGCTACAATTAACAAAGCAACAACTCTCATTAAGGAAAAAAAGGTGCATGGTTTGACATTTTATTCATATATTAATCTCTAATATTTCTACCTTGTCTGGAAACACTTCAAATTCTTTACGGCATTTCAGCGCCATAAAACAACAATGACTAGAAAACTGGATATACACAGCCAACTGAGTGTCAGAAGTAGATGACCTGAAATTTCTAAAATTGTCTCTGACATGCAGAATTTCAAGCTCAGATACTTCCATATTGTGGTGTTCAGCAATAAGAAGATACAGGTTTTAACAAAAGAATTTGGTTATATAGTTGTGGTCAACTTATCAAGATGAAGCTGAAGGTCTGCATCTAGGCAGTTTAAGAGCAAACAAGCTTCATAAAGAAAATAAATGAGAAAATAATTGACAAGGAATTCTCTTGAAGTTGTTCCAGTCAACAGATAAATTGTTTCCCTCATATATATAGTCTTGGGGGCATTCAGTAGCGTAATTGGTTGAGGTACTATGCTACAAGCTGGAAGGTTGCGGGTTCTATTCCCAATGAGGTTGTTGGAATTTTCAGTTGACCCAATCCTTCCAGCCGCACTATGGCCCTGGGGTTGGTTCAGCCTCTAACAGAAATGAGTACCAGGAATCTTCCTGAGGGGTAAAGGGCGGCCAGCGCGTAAGACTGATTACCTCACCACCATCTGTGAGCCGATTGTCTAGATAGTGTGGGAGCCCCAATATCTCACAACCCTATGGGCCTCCATAGACTGTTTCAGGAATATCTTTATAAAATAAATAGTTCATTGAATTATTGACTGTGTTTTGTTAAAATACACACCTTCCCCTGAACAGCCCAATTTTTTTTAATGCTCATTTAAGATGCTTGCTAAATGGTAGCTTATCTTAAGATTCAGTTTTGGAGGTGTTGAAAAATGAATCAGAACAACCACTTCATTACATAGATTCATATATCAGTTATGCTTCTGATATAAATGTTAGCTCTTTTTAACACCACAAGTAAACATATTAATGTATGATATAAGCAGGCCTTATGTGGGATTCACCTGCTTCTTTTTCTCCCCAAACCTGCACTCGTTTGTTTTATTACTATATTACATAGTTGTGTCGTTTGTGATATCCGTATTAGTCATCTTAAGCATAAGTTTTTGTGAATGGCACTGATAATGATATGTGTTAATTGTGTTAATTACTAATGTTAAATTTTATTTTTCAGAGACCTGTTATGGGATGAATCACTTATTATGAATGTCTTGGAACCATGTGGTAAATTAATTTCTCTAAACAATTGCTTTATTCTTTATTACAGCAGTATATATGGGTAATGTGGCTTTCAGGGATGCATCTTTTGTTCTTCTCAGTCAGTGACGGACAAGCTGTCACGACAGACAAAACAGGGGGCTTATTCATGGTAGCATTATGGGGCTGATGGTGGGTGTTTGTCAGTGTGGTGATGGACTGGCATGCTTCATAAAATACATTCATATTCAGTACATTTAAGAAATGTATTCAGTTATAATATATAATATAAATGTAATGGTTTATATGTACTATTTTCAATCGAGCAGGTTCCATGTAGCCATGGCCATTTCTCCATGCTAACAAAAGTTATTACTGAACATGTTGGTCTAGAAGTAGCACTTGGGACTTGGATTAGGGAGGTGCTTGATTCAAATCATGGCTGGGACACTAGCCATACTGTTGATTTTCGTGGTTTTCCTCAGTCCCTCCAGACAAAGGCCAAGGTAGTATCTCAGGGCATGACCAGTGTTTATCAAAACCTTTTCCATTTGTCAGTCATCCTACCAGCAGATATTATATAATCTGGACAGTGACTGCATCAGTGTGTAACATGTAAGAAAACCCTATATCTCATAACGTAATGAAAGGAGTTGTGGGTGGATGGACGGACTAGCTACATGGAAAATTTTCAATAAATTATTGTATGTGAAATGGTCAGAAATGATTGAAGATAAAGTTTGACTTAAGAAAATTTAAACATTTGCTTATTCTCTGTTATTGGGATTTTTTAATGCATGCTACATGACAGTTTTGCTTCACTAACCACCTCTTTTGAACTGTTGTTCATTTTAGCTTATGGACATCTGCTGTACTAACAAAAGATATTGAAATTCAAGTTCTGTGTCATGCTCCACAATAAGTCTTCCAAGTATTTGTCCTTTGTGGTAATTTATGTTTCCCTTTTGTGTCATGCTTACATTTGTCTCCTCTTCACAGTTCCTGAATTTTAGTCTGGGTATTGAAATGAGATTATTTTTTCTGCCAGAATGTACTTCGCCTGTCTGCTCAAGCCATTTTTAATTGTGTGTAAATAATGATATAATGTATCACTTTAATAATTTTGTATAATTTAATTCAGGTTGTCTGTAGAATGTAATGTTAAACAATATCTTTTTCTGCAGAAAGAAGGAATTTAAAAAGCACTTTGTGAAAGTATATACATGAATAACAGATCACTGTAGAACTAGTCACATTCCCCAAAAGCAACAGAATTATGTGAAATAGAATCAAGGAGGATGAGGTGGGCAGGTCATGTAGACCGAATGGGGGTGACGAATGCGTATAGGATATTGGTGGGATAGCCAGAAGGAAAGAGACCACAGGGAAGACCAAGGCGTAGGTGGGTGGACAATATTGGAATGGATCTTAGAGAGATAGGATGGGATGGGATGGATTGGATAGATCTGGCTCAGGATAGGGACCAGTGGAGGGCTCTTGTGAACACGGTAATGAACCTTCGGGTTCCATAAAATGCTGGGAAATTCTTGAGTAGCTGCAGAATTTGCAGCTCCTCCAGAAGGGCTCAGCTCCATGAGTAAGTAAGTAAGTAAGAATAGAAAGGATAGGTAGCATGAAATGGTGCAATTCAAAGAAGCTATTATCCTATTAATTTCTTGGAAAGACTAAGGGAAGTCATGAAATACTCCAGTATCGAGAGCCAGCAGTGGTTGAAACTCAAACTGGGTTCCTCCCAAATATAGTTCAGAGACCCTGCATGCCAGGATTTCTAAGCTTGTAATGTTCATTAATTTGTAACACAGTTTCACCCTAATATTGTCATTGTCTGTGTAAGCAGAGCCATATAACTGTGGACATTAACTTGAAACAGAATTCTTTGTTTTAACTGAGGAAATTGGAGATTATTGAGCAGATAATTATGTCATTTACAAGGTGACTACACAGAAACGTGCCTAGGTTTAAATTTTGGGAAGTATTTTGCAATAAATGAATAAATAATGCACATTATTACATTGATTAACAAATAAACTGTGTTGCACTCGTTGCATTTCATTGTTTCTCATATTTTTTTTTTAATTTTGCCAGAAAAGAACACTCTTTTGGTATTGTTCTACACTTTTTTTTAGCCCTGCAGCGATATATGTATTATGGTATGTTATCAAATGTAAATATTTAAATGGTGCAAGCTCCAATGAAGTCATAGAAAGTATTATCATACATGGTTCAATCCAAAAGTTCCCAAAATTTGAATTTTGCGTGCAAATGGTTATGAGTACATCGAAATACTGTGAGGTGTCTCCCCACACACCCTTCTTGAATCAGTGTGGCAAGCAGACTTAACATCTTTATGCCTAAATGCTCAAAAAGTGCTACTATGTAAGTTGTCATTCCTGGCCTTACTGTATAAGGACATTCGTATTTTCTTCCAGCCTCCTGTTGACATCTGTTAGAGAATTAACTAACCACTTGATGATTTGATGTATGATACAGTATATGGTGGCAAAGTTTCCTTGTTTTGGTGGCAACTATACAATTAAGTCTTCTTGGGTAACAGTTACTAAAGTATTCCAGTGTTTTGGATATTGCATCAGTAACATGAAATTATGAAAAGTAACTATTTTCTGTACAGTAACAACATTGAATCAGAAAAAGGATTAAAAGGAAAAGATGCTTAGCATGAGCAGCAGGGAGATCTAAAATGGTGGTGGTGGAGCTGAAGGTAGACAGTGGAAATAATTTATACTGTTTAAAGTGTTACATTGCTGTGTTAATATTTTTTGTGTAATATCTTGAATATATGTGTATTATGTCTGCACATGTGTGCTTTGCCAATGTATCATACATATGTTTATCACCATTGGTTACTTAGCAATTATTATTTGTGTGTGTCCATCCGTGCGTGTGCACATGTGTTTATTGCCATTTACCATCAATTGCTGTTCAGGTGTTTGGTGCTGACTACTGTAAATACTGTAGCACATGGGCAGATTTGGAGCAGAGATACTGCAGCAATCACAGTTGTTGTCTTAACTATTCATCTGTATATTTTCCATCTTCTGTCAAACTGATATACTGATGAGGAGTTCTAGCTTTTGGATATAACACCATGTGGTCTGTTGAAAACTTGCTTTCTGCGTGTTTAATGCTGGTTTCTTGCCTGGCATACTCTTTGATCCACTGAAGATGAAGATGGAGATGACACCTTCCTCTGAAATGCTGGTTTACTTTCAACAGATTACAGTGCATTATAACTATTCATCACCACTGCTGTGAGAACCTCAGATGCTACATCTTACAGTGATGTTTTGAGTTTGTCGTTCGTATATAACCATTCATTCATCATGAAACTGTACAATATGTTTCAGCCAATACACTACCATCATCAGGTACATCTATATGTTGTTGTAAGTTGGGGAACCAATGAAATAAGTCAAAGAGGTGGAGTTATGGGGATGGGTATGGCTAAAGATTGGAGCACAGTATTGTTCATGTACATCCAATCTGAAACCGTACATAATTATTGCCCTATTTCATTGCTTGCTGAAGAGAGAGAGTAACAAACAGGTAATGTTAGTGTAAGATCTGAAGTTCTCACAGCAGTGACTGTGAAGAGGATGCAATGCCATGTAGTCTAGTAGAAGTTTGCTGGCATTTCAGATGAACACACTTCCATCACCTTCAGGGTTGAAATGTAAGCCAAGCAAGCAGAGGGTTGCTTGCTTGTTTCTTTGGCGTTTTCTTCAGACCTGAAGGTGGAGGTAGCATAATCTTCTGAAACATCATTACACTTCTACCAGGCTACACACTGGCACATTCCATTGGATAGTATTCTTCAAACGATGTTCTTGATTATTAATGCAGGTATTTGTTGGGAAAGAAAATAATTTCGAAACTTCCCCATTCAACTATTTATTACTCATAAATTCACGTAGATTCATATAACCTTAAGAATGAAAAATTGTAGTTGTCTGAAGCAAGATTTGTTGATTTAACATTGCTTGTTCTGCAGTTTGTAACATGTAATTTGGATTTGTATTCATTAACAGATAAAGATGTGGGTTTTCCCAGAAGGAACCAGAAATAACACTGGAAATATTCTTCCTTTCAAGAAGGGGGCTTTTCATGTTGCCATTGCAGCGCAGGTCCCAGTGCTGCCAGTTATATTTTCATCATACTATTTCCTGGATAATAACAGCAAGGAGTTTGAATCAGGTAAGTAACTTCATGTAACTCCCA